CGCTTGTTTTTCTGTTACCAGCACAACAACATATGCTTTTAGCATCTAACAATTTAACAGTTGTGTAAATGTTAATAACAGCAGAGCCCTTGAATTTGTTGTCAAAAATGCCGGTCGTATGTTACTTGTTTAATTTGGTATTCCTAGGCACAGTAAGCTACAAATTAACTGAGGGTTTGAATAAATTTAACGGCATATTTACGAAACAAAATCCTATTGACAGACATAAGTTAAATTGAGTACTTCTGTGTTTATTTAAAGCAAAAATCACACGCTATGCGTTAGCAGTGCCAATTTGAGTAATTTGTCTGTAAGATTTAGAGATGAGCAACATAAAAACTTTGATTTAGTTCAATAGAACAATTAAAAATTTCATTGATTTCCATCAAATAACCATGCAGAAATCACACAATTTTTCTGATTTAATGTGGTAACATATGTATAAATGTATATTTTAATTGTTCATTTCGATAATTTAATAACATAAATTTATGAATTATGTAAACTTATGTGAATATCCATTTAAACTATATACATGCAATTAGCTAAGAATATGTGATGCAAATTCACTTTTTTACCCTCTTACACTTAGTCAATCGTCCGATATTAAATTTTTAATTTAAGTAAAATATATATCTGTGGAACTTCTTATGGCAATACCGATATAAATATTTATATATTGTGTTGCGATGATTATCAGTTGCTATCGATTAATTATGATCGTTCGCTGGGAATGGTACCGTGTTGAATTGAGTGAAAATGTTCAAATTTATGGCGCTAGATTAAACGCAAAACGAGTTCAGATATTTTTATATTTTTTATTAAATGATATATATTTTTTTCTTATAGGTAGATATTTAGAATATTTACATATTGTTCAAGCTTTTTACAAGTCGGGCAGAATGGGCGGACACGTGCACACCAAATGCTTATCGCCGTACGCATCATCGATTCTTCCAACAGTAGGCCAAATTTTAGCATCTGGCTTCACAAATAACTGTCGATGAAAATGAATTAGGTATATAACTAATGTAAGGTTTAATGTGGAATAGTTACCGCTGGGAAGGCAGCCTGTTCACGTGTGTAGGGACGGTTCCATTTGTCCGATATGACCTGGGCCTGTGTATGCGGCGCCATTTTCAGGGGATTAACAGTTTTGTCCATGCGTCCTTCCTCGATCTCTGAAATTTCCTCTCTTATGGAAATCATGGCGTCACAGAACCGATCCAACTCCTCCTTGTCCTCGGACTCAGTTGGCTCTATCATCAGTGTGCCGGCTACGGGCCAGGACATGGTTGGTGCATGAAATCCGTAATCCATCAGACGCTTCGCCACATCGACGGCCTCAATGTTGGCTGTCTTCTTAAGATCCCGTATGTCCAGAATGAACTCATGGGCCACCAGCTGCGAGTTTTCTGCCTTGTACAGCGTTTTGTAGTGCTGCTCCAGACGCTTGGACATGTAGTTCGCATTTAGGATGGCCACTTGGGTGGCTCTCTTCAGTCCACGACTACCCATGAGCTTAATGTACGACCAGGAGATAGGCAGGATTGCCGGACTGCCAAAGGGCGCGGCTGAGACGACACCAAAGCTGTGCTCCTCGCTAGCGAGTGGACTGACAACTGGATGGCCAGGCAGAAAAGGTGCCAGGTGTGCTTTCACTCCGATGGGTCCCATGCCAGGGCCGCCGCCGCCATGCGGTATGCAGAAGGTCTTGTGAAGATTCAGGTGAGAGACGTCGCTACCGTAGTCTCCGGGCCGGCACAGGCCCACCTGAGCGTTCATATTGGCACCGTCCAGATACACCTGGCCACCGTGCTGGTGCACCAAGGTGCAGATCTCCGCAACTGTCTCCTCAAACACTCCCATGGTCGAGGGATAGGTGATCATGAGGCAGGACAGCTCATTGGCATGCTGCGCCACCTTGTCACGCAAATGGGCCATATCGATGGTGCCATCCGAGAGAATGCGTATGGGCTCTACCTGTAATGGAAAGTTAGTAACATGTTGGTAAGGATTGTATAAATTTGGTCTACCTTCATGCCAGCCATTTGGGCCGACGCTGGATTAGTGCCGTGCGCGGAAATGGGAATCAGGCAAATGTTGCGATGTCCCTCGTTGCGGTGCTCGTGGTAGCTCCTGATGGCGCGCAGGCCGGCGTACTCGCCTTGCGCACCAGAGTTGGGCTGAAATGAGATTTTGTCGTAGCCCGTGATTTCGCACAGATCCCGCTCCAGTTCGCTAAACAATTGATGAAAGCCCTGAGCCTGCTCGACCGGTGCAAAGGGATGAATCTCTGTGAAGTGTCGGAACGAGCAGGGCATCATCTCGGTGGTCGCATTGAGTTTCATGGTGCAGGAGCCCAGTGGAATCATGGAGTGCACCAGCGAGATATCCTTGTTCTCCAGCTTCTTCATGTAGCGCACCATGCGAGACTCGCTAAGGGAGAAATACTTTGTTAACTTCCTTCCGCCTGGCTGACGGCCTGACTGACTGATTACCTGTGATAGCTGTTGAATATGGGATGCTGCAGGTAGGGTGAGGTGCGCAGGAACTTGGAGTTCTCAATGGAGTTCTTCAGCACATCCTTGCGTGCTAGCAGCTCCTCCACCGTTAATGGCGCCCTGAAGCACCACAAGAGGTCGTTCACATCTGCCACACTCACCGTCTCATCCAAGGCCACGCATACGGTGTCATCTGGCAAGTACCGCAAGTTGATGTGCTTGTGCTCGGCGCGTTCCTTGAGCTCCTCCAGCGAGAGGTCGCCGGAGAGTCTCACGTGCAACGTGTCAAAGAAATTCTTGTTGACCACCTCATGGCCAGCCTCGAGCAGACCCGTCTGCAGCGTCAGTGTGAAGTGATGAATGCGATTCGCGATGGCCTTCAGACCCTCCGGGCCATGGTAGATGGCATACATGCCCGACATGTTGGCCAACAGGGCCTGAGCAGTGCAGATGTTGCTCGTAGCCCTGTCGCGTCGGATGTGCTGCTCGCGGGTCTGCAGCGCCAAGCGGTAGGCATCGTTGCCATCCATGTCGCGCGTCACCCCAATCATGCGGCCCGGCATGAGGCGCACTAGACTCTGCTTGCAGGCGAAGAAGCCGGCGTGCGGGCCACCATAGCCCAGGGGCACGCCCAGGCGCTGCGAGGTGCCGATGGCAATGTCTGCGCCGAACTCGGCGGGCGGGCGCAGCAGCGTGAGAGACAGCAGATCGGTGGCCACCACCACCAGGGTCTAAGGGTGTGAAAGAGAACGAGATAGCTAAGACTTAGGTAACTCATTCGGCATTTAAATCTGTAATAGATCTTACGCCATTTTTGCGTGCCAGAGCCGCAATGTCCTCAAAGTCCTTGACATCGCCGTAGGTATCCGGATACTGGAGCAGAATGCCGGACAGCTCACGGCTGCGCAGATCGGCCCGCTCAATGGGACCCACAACGATCTCCAGCTCCAGGGCATCGGCACGCGTCTGCACTACCGCCAAGGTTTGAGGATGCACCTTGTTCGACAGATAGAGCTTCCTGCGCTTGTTGTGCCTGTTGGCCAAGCACATGGCCTCCGCAGCAGCTGTGCCCTCGTCCAGCAACGAGGCATTCGCCACATCCAGCCCCGTGAGCTCGGTGACGAGCGTCTGATAGTTGAGCAGCGACTCAAGGCGACCTTGGGCGATCTCCGGCTGATAGGGTGTATACTGCGTGGTCCATCCGGGATTCTCGAAGATGTTACGCACGATCGTGTGGGGCACGTGGCAGTTGTGGTAGCCCATGCCGATGTACGAGCGCCACAGCTGATTCTTGAGCGAAATGTCACGAATGCGTTGGATTAGCTCGTGCTCGTCTGTAAGGCGATTGAGATTATATATATGTATAAATATTGTATAAGTATGTATTGGTAATGTGTTTTGATTCAAACGGCAGACAACGATGCGCTAGCTGGCGGACCTATTGAACTGCGCTTATCTCTTATCACTGCCCGGGGGGTCGCGACAGGGGGTCGACGTGGCTGACTATTTTTGAAAAACATTTCCACTACTTACTTAGAGGCTTGTCGAGGCTCAGATCCCGCTTCAATTGTATGCTCTGCGGCACCGCCTTCTCGGTAAGCTCTGCCAAGGACTGAGAGGGAGAGAGGATATTAATATGTTAGCCAAAAGAATAGTTTCTCTCCTAGTTTACCTTAAAGCCCAGCGTATCCAGCATGGCAACCACATCCGTCTTGCGTGGTCCTATATGACGACTGGGAAAATCTGATTTGGTGGGAAAGAGCACATCGCCCACGGGCGTCGTTGCCAGGGAGCGAGTATTGAGCCTCAGCATTAGGCTGCAGCTGCGCTTTGCCACAATTCGTTGCATTCTGATTTATCTATGCGGTGCTTAAAGGTGTTGTAAGGCTCTACCTCCTCGGTCACGTCCAGTCCAAACGTCTGCCAAACAGCGACTGATTCGAGTGTCTCTCCATGCGAGCTGATAGAGCGCATCTCCAAGCTTATCAATAGAGAAGCCGACGCTGAGCTAACCTGAGCTGAGCTGAACTGATCGCAGCTGCTCTTATAAGCTACGCACGCCATGCCCAATAGAAACAACACGCAATGGGTATTTTTGCATTAAATGCACTTTAACATGTTTATTTGTTGCTCTAATGAAATCAAAACGTTTTTGTAACAAAAATACTCGATTTTGTATATTCAATATTTTGACAAATTTTCAACATTAACAAAATGAATATTATAAAAAGTTTCAACAACACGGAATATGCGCATACAAAACCAAAAGATAACATTATAAATACAAACATTTTGTTGTTCCACGAATCGAACTGAAGCCTGTCAAATTTCTTGCCTACTTAATTATATATGTATATATAAGTATATATGGATCTTGCTTGATTTTTTAACAATTGCATTTAACATATAATATTTTGAGAGCATTCAGCAATTATCTATCTAGCCAAATGAATTTTTCGGGGTTTCATAAAATTTTTCTAATCGTTTTGATTAACTTTTTGTTTCTCAGCTTGATGTTGTAATAATTCTTGAAGCCATTTTTTGTCTTTTCCGTTTTGGAACTCGATTTTGCATAATTGAAATTCTCGAACTGCAATTGGTATGCATGAATATATATATAAACATATATATGTATATACATATATATTATTAAACATTTGTATATGTCGTGTATATGTATATATATTTTAACTAACGTCTTTTTGGTTGTCATTTCAAGTCAGCTAACCCATCTCATAATCATCTAAGTTTTTCTTTAGTTTCATAAATACGAAATTTAATTTGAAATTGGAATACTTTTTTTTTTTCAAGATATACATTATAATTGAGTGATGCAGTGCTCGAATAGAGATTTCGTCTTAAAAGTTTTCTTATTTTTCTTTTTAGATATATTTTTAGTATGTATATAGTAAAGGGTATATATATGTATATATATATATGTATATAAAATGGTTTTCGGTTGCTATTTCTATGATCAGTTACGTTGATTGGTGCCATGAATGCAGTTGAGGTAATTAGCTATTAGCAAGAAGCCAGAATATGTTTTTTGTTTAGGTGCAAAGAGATCGTCGTAAAATTCTGTTTTGTATATATAGTATATATAGATTATATTTGTAGTTAAACGTGTGAAATGTTTTCCTTTCTCTGTATAACTATGTCCCATATCTGTGAGAGCTTTGAGAGTTTTCCTTTTCCTTGTTTATATAATTGCAACGAGTAATTAGTTAGCTTAAAGTAAATTTAGTTTGAGCATGTGCTGAGAATGTGGCATGGTTCAGAGATGACAACCTATTCGTATGCCCACTTACTCATCGAGTCTACGGCTTATCGAGCTCGCTCTTTGCCAGAGTCGAGCCGAACGCGCTCTTGAATTGATACTGACCCGATGACGAGCTGGGCAAGCTGCTTATCTGCGGTTCGCGCAATGTGAATGACATCATGGGATTGTAGACGCCGGTGGAGTACGAGCTGAGAGTGGATGTGCCAGAGGTGCTCGCCGGATCACCCAGCCGACTGCTAAATGAGCTACTGAAGTTGTATGGAACGAATGCAGATGCAGTGGAGGCTGTCGAGCTCGAGCCGAGCACGCTTGCATATGGTATGGCTGAGCTGGTGCTAGTGGTTGTGGGAGTGAGAGTGGGATTGGGTTGGGGACTGGGAATATTCTCAGAGCTGTTGCGCAAGCGCTGATCAGATGCACTGCCAGCTGGAGTGGAGGTGGCGGCAAGATCGCTCGCAGTGGTGAGTGGGGTGAGGTATGAGTAGTTGCTGCTGCTGCCCGCATAGCTGCGGGACATGGGTGAGTAGCTGCTCGCGCTTGTGGCGGCCACGTCGGGCATGAGCTCGTGACCGTACTTGTGGGCCGTCAGGGTGCTGGGCAGATCGCTGTAGCTCTTGGTCGCTGCCGATGGCGAGAGAACGGGCGAGCGGCTGGGCGGGCGAGGCAGCGTCTGTTTCTCAATCTGCTTCTCGGTGAGAAAGCGATCGTAGAAGGTCGAGGTGACAGTCGTGTGGCGGATCTCCAGCTTGGCTGGCTGATAGACGGGCGTGTTGGAGCGTGAGGGCCTGCTTGGGTCATAGGGCTGGCGATAGGGCGACACGGGCCTAGGGAAACTGTCGACTGTGGCTGTTGTGTTGTATCGTGTGCCTGCTGTTCGGGACTCGTACGGCGAGCTCAACGGGGACTTGCAGGCGGAGCGTCTGTCGTCCGCGTACTTGGCGCAGGTTTCTTCTAGTTGTCTATCTACTTTGTGAAACTTAGTTAAACTACTGGAGCTACCTAGTTCGCTACGATTATCAGCTAAATAATTTGGCAACATATTATCACGTCTTACCCTACTACTCTCGCGCTCCTCTAGCTCTTCCGTCTCGCGACGGCGACGCGGCGACAGCTCCCGGCTAACATCCCTGTGCGAACGATGATGCGGCGGATTGGCAGCACGCAGCGGGCTGCCCGTGCGCAACGACTCCACGGAGCCGAGCGAACGATGCTCGGAGCTGATCCGGATTGTTGGCGTATAGTCGGAGCAGCGCTGCGTGCCACGTCCTCGACTCTCGCTTCGACTGTGCGTCAAGTCCTCGGCCGAGCTCTTCTTGTTGGAGAAGTGCAATGAGTCAGAGAACAGAGAGTCGATGTAGCGCTGGCACTTCTCCTTCTGATAGGACTTCTCCTCGCACAAGCTATCGATGGACTTGATGCTGTTCTTGATGGAGCTCAAGCGATCATTAATGTTGTCTCCAGTGCGCAGCGGTACGCCCGTATGGGTTCCAGTTCGAGTTATGGGCGATGTTTCCTTTGAAGCGTATAAAACTGAGATAAGTCTTTTGAGCTTTGCCAATTCATAGATCACTTACCCTCATCAGGCGACTGCCGAGGGCATCGACACCTTCAGAGGCTGTGCTGCTGATATAGCTGCGACTTGCTGCTGTTGATGCTGATGCTGATGGCTGATCTGCAAGAGTCTTCTTAAGAATACGTTGAAGAATTTTAGAATTCTCCTCCATAAAGCTTAAAACATTGGTTATGCCCACCATTCGCTCGCTGGCTGGGCCCTGTCCCTGACTCTGCCGTGACTTGGGACGCCACGAGTCTTCGTAGTAGTCCTCGTCCTCATCCCTGAACCGTATGACCTTGGGGCTGGTGGGCCGATACGAAGTTGTCTCCTCACGGCGATAGTCACGGTAATCGTCATGTATCTCTTCGCGTCGCATTGCTGACTTTGGCGTTGTGGGGGCTTGTCGCCGGGGACTCTGCTCGCGCGACTTTGTCAACTTGAACTCCTCGTAGGATAGCGAGGGCGACACCACGTCCTTAAGTTTTTGATTGAATTCTTTGTAGTCTTTTTGGGTCTTGAAATCGAAGCGTTGCTCCTTTTCCAGCGCAAGTATACGCTTGTCTAGTTCTTCGGCAGTGGGTGGTTCCGGCTTGCTGGGCGAGTAGACCAAGCGCTCCAGGCTGTGTACTGGCGTCTTGGGCTGCTGGTCATCTAGCATTTTCTTTCGCTTGATATCCTCGATGGTGGGCGAACGGGAACGTGACTTGTGGCGCACAGGGGACTTTAGTTTCTCGTCCAGCAGTCGTATGCGATGCTCCAGCTCGCCCGTAGTCGGTATTTCACTATCATCCGGACTCGGATCGAGCAGCATTTCGAGCGGATGAATAGGTGGTTTCTTATTGGGGTCAGTTTTACGCTTGGAGAGATTGTCCTTGGACTTGGAACGCACCAGGTCCAGCACGCGATATTTGTATTCCAGGTCGTCAGAGATGGGCAGATCGTCTTTGTGCGGCTGACGGCGAGCCGGCGAAGTGTAGGGACTCTTCTTGCTGGCGGCGCGCGCAGGTGATGTTTGCTGCGTCTTATTACTCTGACGCGAAGGTGACGTATAAGGTGACTTTGTGGTGCTCTTCTCCCTACGTGAAGGTGACGTATAAGGTGACTTTGTGGTGCTCTTCTCCTTACGTGAAGGCGACACATATGGCGACTTGCTCACTGACTTGGAAACTGGAGACGTGTATGGTGATCTCGCGGAGGAGCTAGCTTGTTTGCGTGATGGACTGCGTGAGCGGTCGTTGACTGGAGAAGTAGACTCCGCCACATGAACATCCTCCTCATCGTCTAGGCCTTTGCCTTCGCATAGCTCTAGGAATTTGTTGAGGTCTTTCTCATGCGATAACGAGTACTGCAGCTTGATCTTTCGCTCGATTTCACAGAGTCTCTGCTCTACGTCAATTTTTTCAACATCTTCGAGTAGTTTAATTTGACGCTCCAAGGACCGAAAGCGAGCCTCTAGCTCCTTGGTGGATGGCAGATAGACGGTTTTCCGTTTCAGGTGATGCTTAACTGGATTGGGTCCCCAGTCATAGTTGGGATCCTCTTCAACGGCCTTTTCCTTCTCCTGTTTCTGCTCCGCTGCTTCTTCTTCTGGCTTGCCACTGGTGAAGTCTTCAATTTCTTTGGTCAGGTCTGATATGGCTTGAGCCTGCTCGACTTGCTCAGCAGATGGCTTACTTTCTGCTCGAACCAGTTTTCCATCTTTGGACTTGACGAGATTGCGATCGTTGAGTTGCTTTTCAAGGGCCTGGAATAGACCCTCGAGCTCTTCAGTATTGGCTCTGGTCAGACGGCGCACTTTCAATGCTTTCGGCTCATTATCCATTAGAAGTACCACAGTCTTATTATTGGGATCTACGGGGCCAATATCACTTGGATTAATAACAAGATTTTCTTCGGAATTTTTAAGTGGTTCCTCGGCTGAAGTTGACTTCTGTTCAATGGCATCTGATTTCTCACTATTTGGCTGAGGATCATTTTTTAGAGATGCATCTGGAATTTTCGGCTCTTCGATTGAGGGGGAACATTTCTTTTCGATTTTCTTTTCATTTTCTTCATTAACAGTTTTAGCCTCAGCCTTTTGTTCTTCTTTAGTGGCATCTGCTAGGTCCGATTCTTTATTACCGGATTGAGCCTTTTCTTCGTTTTGCAAGGTTTTGGTTTCCTTTACCGTCTCGGGCTCTGCACTATCCATCAAGGGCACTGCAGGTTCCTCCAGTTTTTCGGCCTCGTCGCACTTGACGCTCTGGTTGTGGCTATCCTTTTCCTGTTTTTTGCTTGTCTCAGTTTCTTCGCTTTGTTCGGTCGACGGAAGTTGAGCATCTTCGGTGCTTGCCTCGACATCAGGGATCGGTATTGTTCCATTCCTGGCACGCGCTTCGCTTAGCTCCAGTTCGAGCTGTTCTAATCGTCGCCTCAAATCATCTGTGTTGGGTTCGGCTGGCGGTTTTCGCTGTTCGTTCTCTTTGTTGAGGAGCATTTTAATATTGATGCTTATGTTAATCGGCTTGTCCGACTCCTCAACGTCAGTGATGTTTTGGGTGTAACGCACCAGCTCCTTGCCAATTTCCATGTCAGTGCTAAGTCGACGTGGAGAACAGAGATCTTCTGAATTGTGGTTCAGCTTCTCCTGTTGCTTTTCCTTTTCGCGAACAGCTTCCAGCAGTTTGAGGCTGTTTTCGCTCAGCTGCTTCTCCAGGGCCAGAACACGCTGTTCCAGCTGAGCCTCCGCTTGGTGCGAGGTGCTTGGCTTGTCCTCATAGCTAAACATCCTCGATGCAACTTCGGAATCACTTGCACAGCGCTGCTTGTAGAATTTCTTGTACAATTTCTTTTCCAGGAATTGTAGGCGATTTTCCAAATCGGCTCTTGACGGCAAATCGGAGAAACGACGAACCGTTCGCTGCGATTGCCAGGGTTCGTAATTTCCCGATCTGTAGTAAGCGGTGGTTGCAGGTGCTTCCGATGTCTCATCGCCCATTGTCGTGGGTCGCTGTTGCAGCTGTCGTTGCTCTGGCTGGCGCTTTCGCTGAGGATTTATTTCGCTCGGCCTCAAGTTCTCCTCGCCCGGGGACTGCGCTTTTATCTTGCTCTGCAGCTCTTCAATGAGAGCGCGTTGCTGATGCTGCCCAGGATTGATGATGATCCGGTGCTCTGCTGGTGGGGGCGGTGGAGGTTCAGGTATGTGTGCCTCGATGGCCACATCGACACGGCGTGGAGGTGACTTAAGCGCCGGCTTTGATTTACTTTCAGTTTCTTTTGTGTCCTTGCTATGTAATGCCTCGTAGCGGCTCTCCAAGTCCTCGGTTGTGGGTGGTTGCTTTTTGATTGGTTTTGTGTCTTCCTCCGAGTCGCCGAGCTCTGCCATTACTTCCTGTTCAATGCGCTCCAGTGCCTCGTTCACTGTTTCGTTTTGGGTGGCTAAGTGATTTTTACTACTCATGCGGCGCTTCAGGGTCTCATAGCGCTTATCCAAATCTTCCATAGAAGGGGGTTCGGAGGCTCGCCTTTTATTATGCTCTGCTGGCTGTGTTTTCTCTGGCTGTTCAGCTGCCGGATCTGACTTTTGATCTGGTTTGACAGGTTTCTGAGTGTCTTCATTAGTTTCAGTTGCTAACGGCTTTTGCTCGGCTTCTAAGACTCTGTTGGCTGTCTTGCATGTGGTTTCAAAGGCCCTCCGTTTCTCCAATGTGGCTTCTGATACTTCGCTTGTGTTCTCATCGTTTGTCAACGTTGCACTTATTGCTTTAACTTTTTCATCAAACGACTTAATTGACTTTTGAGCCTCCTCCTCTTTTTTGACTTTATTTTCCTTACCTTGTTCTGATTGCTTAGTTTGCTTTTCTTCTTGTGGCACAGGCTCAGCTTTATTAGAAGACTTCTCATTGTCAACTTCTCCATTTGTATCTCCTTTGGAGGTGCTCAGCTGCTTCTCCAGGGCATTGAAACGTTTCTCTAGTTCCTCTGTGGAAGGTGGGGACTTCCGCTTGAGTACCTCAACTTTCTTGTCGTCCTCATTTAATGATTCTTTGCTCTTTACAGGTTCTTTCTTTTCGCTTTGGATTTTCTCATTTTTTGAAGGTGAAGCTTTGGCTGGTTCATCTTTCTTATCCGAGGCTTCTGGCTTTGTGCCTTCAGCATGTTTGCGAATCTCTGCATCGCTTGTCTCTTTCTTTGTTTGCTTAACTTCTTCAGCTACTTCCTTGCTCTCTGGTTTGCTTTCTGCCTTTGCTGGTGCCTCTGCAACTTTCTTGGGTGAAGTCTTTTTACTTTCTCTGCCTTCGTCAGGTGGTTCCTTCTTTGCTTTGGTAGGACTGGCTTTTTGTACGCTTATTCTTCGCTCTAATGCATTGAAGCGATCTTCCAATTCGGCTGTTGAAGGCAATTTTTTAAGGCGCGGTGTCTCCGTTTTCTGCTTACTTTCACTCTCTTTCTTGTCAGTTGCATCGCATTCGTTGGCAGGTTTTGCTGTATCTGTCTGAGAGTCATCCAATTTATGCAGTTTGCTGGTTTTCTCGCTTTCATTTCCCTCCTTTGAACTCCTGCCCGCTGGCTGCTCTTGACCCCTAAGTTCAATGGGAGCCTTTGCATTTGATTCAGTGGAACTCATTTGCTTGGCTAAAGCATTGAAACGCATTTCCAGGTCAGCTGTAGAGGGAATACGTTCCGGCTTCTCAAAGCATTCGGCCGTAGGCTCGATAATTTGCCCACCTTGTTTCTCCGCACTTAGCTGTTTCTCCAGTGTATTGAAACGCTCTTCCAGAGCCGCAGTGCTCGGTATGTACTTGGTGCCCTCTAGTTTATCACTTGCCGAATGTCGATTCGGTTTCTCCTGACTGAATCGCCGCTCCAGCGCCTGGAAACGTTCTTCCAGCTCAATCGTCGACGATCTTGTGAGAGTCTTGCGTCTTGGATCTCGACGTTTACGGCTGGCACTACTGAGGATCGTAGGCAATGCGTCCTTCTTCGTTTCTATCGTCATGCTCAGCACTTCTTTGTAGTCGTCCTTGTTTTCGCCTGGAATGTTGTCATCGCGTATTAGGGGTATGCCCGCTTTTAGTTCTATGGCTGGAAGATCGAAAGGCATGCTCTTTGCTATATACCCAGCACTCTGGCCTTCGACCAGCGCACGCTGCTCTTCCATGGGCGAGGATTTTTCGGCATCCTCCTCGTTTAGGGAGAACGAGAGCTCTAGTCGCTTCGGACGCTCCACGCTATTGACCCGCTCAAAATACTGATTGGTTACGCCGTCGTCACTAACATCGTATCGCCTTGAAGTGGATTCCTTTTCCACCGCTGCGCTGGGTGCAGCATCAGCTACATCGGGAGGATTAACCGATTCGGTATCGGACATTGCATATTCTAGCCTGGGCGAAGGCAGTTCACTAATGCTGGTTGTGCCTAGATAGCTGACCATATCTCGGAGGGGAGAGAGCTGCGCAGTGCTGGTAGCTGGTAGAGTTGCTCCTATCAGTGGCTCTATTTTGCTCGACGCCAGATCCCCTGCTTCCTTTGACCAGTCCAAGTTCCGTGAGTAGTCAAAGCGATCACATTCAGTGGCACTGTCCTCCTCCTCTTTTGGCGCCGGCTCCTTCTCATCGCCGCTCTCGGTTCCCATGAGCATAAAGGGTATTTCATGGCTACTAGGCGCCCAGGACTTGGGTCTCCTGCGCTCCAGGCTAGGCTCTCGTGATACAGCCAGCTTGGGCTTCTCTTTCAGTTTGCGTGCCAGCTTCGCCTTGCGCCTGGGACTCTGCTCGCTCGACTTGGGATCGTCGTCATCGCACAGACTGGTGTCGGTGCTGGAGCCATCTTTGCCTTCAGCCTCCTGCTCCCCATCGCTATCCTCACTGTACGAGGAGCTATCACTTTTGCCCAGGCGCGAACGCAGCTTCTGCGACTTGACCGCGGTGGCATCGCTACCTTCCCGAAATATGGCAGCGCGATCGGCTTTGATCTCCTTCCACGTCAGGCTATCACGTCGATGCTGCGTGGCATCCGTGTCCCGCCAGAGCAGCGTCTCCCCGCGCCGCAGCTGTCGCTCTGGGGGCTTGCTATGCAGCACGGCTGGAAGCGAGGGTTTGCGTGCGGGCGGAATGGCGCCCAACGGGGCTCCCACACGCTTCCCCTTGTTGGTGATTATGGCCGGGCGGCCAAGAAGCAGCTGATTAACTGGCAACTGGCTGGAGTTCGCTTGTCGCGGTGCAGTTGCCGTGGAGCAGGCGGAGGTCAGTATCACGTGGGCTTGCTTCTGTCGCTCGCGCAGGCGATCGTACTGCTTCTTCAGCAACGAAATGTCCAGTGCCAGCCGGTCCTTCTGCTCCGCTTGCGGCTTGCCTGCCCCCGTTGCGCCCGTGCCCACAGAGCCGCGTCTGCCCCAGTTCAGGCCCCACACAGTGGCCACTGCCATGCGCGACTCATCGTCAGAATGCGTATCTTCCTCATCGTAGTAAAGCCTGCAAGAAATGGAACTTGAGCTAATTGCCCGCTATATTTAATTGTGAACCTACTGCAAGCCTTGCTTGTTGGCCAGCGGAGTAATGTTGTACAGATGCTTTTCCCTCAGCTGCTTGATGTCGGCTATAGGTCCTAACTGCACCACTTTCTCTATGAGGCCGTTCGAATCGATGAGGTGGCCATTCAAGAGCTCATTGGAGAAGGATCCCATTTTGCCATAGAAGTCATCAGCAGTGCGTGCATTTAGGACACGTCTGGGGAGTAATAGGGCAAGAATAAGTTTTTAAGATATTGAAAACAGAATCAGTTCTACATATAAAGTATCAGTATAATGACTCCGCCTTTAGCGTCCGTACGGTTATTGCGACGGAAATTCTGGTCCCCAGGCAAACTTATATAAGCGAACTTATATCGTTATAGTGTCTTCCGGGTATAACGACGGTTTCTTCAGCGTCATTATAAGGATTCTACTGTAGATACAGATAGACAAAGAGATATTATATCCTTTGGGCCTCTGCCGTCAATCACTTGCATATAAATATATAAGATATAACCTTGTGAAATCTTCTGTCAATAACTGATATGCAGATATGGTTAATATTGACTCATACATATTTGCATATACTAATATATCTCTTAAGTTTGGAACATATTCTTTTACATTTGCATAGTTTGATGGTGGGTAATATTTAGATAGCAGATAGCAGATCGGAATATATAAATCCAGTTTCTTGGTTTGCCGTCTGGGATTTTTATGTTGGAACTACAATTTACATGATATATCCATTATCAACCGGACAGAAATATTTTTGCTTGATTAATTAATTTGCATTATTCTATAAAGTCTACGATAAAGTAAATCAATCTCAATAGAGGTGGCACTCAGACATAGGGATAGAAAGCTAGATGAACATTGTATGTAAATACTTAAAGTTTTCAATTGTATTCATGAATATCTATGTGGATGTCCTATACTAATCGATTGGCAAATCCAAACATATATGAAGGGGTTGAAATATGTTTCATTATATAATGATGACTACTACCTGAACAGATTCAACCTGACTTGAATCTGTATGCTACACGACAAGCTATTTTTGAATCGTAAAATCCACATCCTGCACACAGAAATTTACGGCCTATACTAAACTTTTGCTGTATTCTTAACTTTGCTTTTTGCTTGATATTTAAACCCGAAATTACGACACACACAAAAGCTGTTTCGACAAACAGGAAAATTGCATTTGGCCAGCAAAAAACGTTGGCAAATGACAGTAACCTTGCGTCTGTCATAAGCCTTGACACAGATTTTGGCCCGCAGGCCAATAGAAAACAGACACCGACAGCGACGCTGACGCCAACGCTGACGCCAACGCCGACGCAGACGCCGACGCCAACGCCGACGCAAAAATGGGCAAACACAAGTTCTGAGCTGTTGCATGAGAAATTGGAAGCAGTACTCACTCCTCGAGCAGGCTCCAGAGGACGAGGGCGGTGCGCAGCAGCACATCGCTGCCCTCGATGAGCACCAGATCCCAGACACGCAGCACGCAGGACATCGGCAGGCAGGTGCAGAACATGGTGAGGAACCACTGCATGGTAAATACGTTGGTGAGCGGCGGCTCATAGGCATTCTCCATGGGTCCCTGCAGTCGCTGTAGGTGCTTCGCCAGGCGTGGGAGCTTTGTTTGCATAAGCTCTCGGAAGACGCCCATGTCCGCTTGTAGGCCGCCCATTGAGCCGTAGAAGTAGCCTGTGGGCAGCACGCCCTCTACCAAGTAAATCATGACCTTCATGGACTCCTCCTCCTCCTTGTCCATCACCTGCAGTATCAGCGCGCCCAGCATGTTAAAGCCCTGGGGTGACACGAAAGCCGTTGTCTATAATTGAGAAACAACAAAAGCAACTCGCTCGCTCTCACCTGGCAGTAGCCCACCTCGGGGTTGTAGCGCGCGTAGCCGAGGAGGATGCGCTTGAGCTTCGCCTGGTTGATGGAGCCTGCGGGGCCGGTGCATAAATTCGAGCCCGTGCGGTGCAGATCCTATGGGGGTAAACGATTCATTAGGCTCAAGTTAGTCTGCTCAGATGGGAGTTAATTGCTAGTCACCTTAACGATCTGAATGCCCAGCTCCTCGTCATCCTCGCGCCACTCCTCGCAGAAGCATTTCTCGCGCTGCTTCGCCCAATCAATGTTCTTCGACTTCAGATACTTGTCCGCCAAGGACAGCCACAGCTGAGGGGTCAACGATTAATTTCAATATTATAACTTAAATACCAAAGGCAAATTCAACCATTTACCTTGCGCCGGAACTCGGGTGGCGTGCCGCCTGGCAGTCGAGCCACCAGCTTCATGGCATGCAGCCATTGGTTGTAGTCCGACAGCGCCTCATCCGCACCAGCATCGGTGCTGGCGTTGGCCGGCCCAGTACTCAGCATGTTGTTGTTGTTGCGGTTGCGGCTGAGAGCCTTGCGATGGCCGCCGCTGATGTTGTTGTTGCTGCTGCTGCTGCTGCTGGTGGTGGTCGAGCTGCTAGTGGCGCTTGTGGTGCTAGTGGGTGGAGTTAGGCTGACTTTTGGTGGCGGTGGTGAGAGACTAAAGCGCATTTTAGGCTGTGCATCGTCTGCAAAAGTTGTCAATTTCAAATGGTCAGTAGATGCGTGTAATCGAAGAAGAGGAAGAAGAAGAAAATTTATAACAGTATGCAAACAGTTAAGAGCTAACAACTAGTTGGCTTTGGCTACGTCCGTGTGAGTTGACTTACAATATCCGTGCAGTATGCAAACTTTACCCAAGTATATATATTTATAGATTAGATTAAGAGGATTGATTATATAATACGGTTCATTATCGAGTTATTAAAGAGCACACGCGAAAGAGAAGAAGAAGAAAAAACAAAACAAAAGAGATAAGTATATTTATAGAGTAATTATTATACGATTATACGATATAATATTGGACACTGCTGAAGCCCTCTGAGGCCATGAGAACGATATGTCAACAATGAGCGAAAGCTTGAAAGCAATTGATAAAAGAGAACTTGCCGCATGCGATGGCAAATGCGATTTGCAGTCTCTGTGCAGAGCTGTCTGTCTGTCTGTGTGTCTGTCTGTCTGTGCGACAATGTGATAAAATATGCTACAATGAATACGCCAAACATCACAAGCCACATTCTAGTCCCGGAGCTGTGGGTGGGATGGGTAGTGGGGGTGTTAGCATGTGGCTGCTGCCTCTGCTCACATTGACCATGATGTATCTACAAACGTGTGTGTGTGTGTGTGTGGGTGTGTGAGTATTAATGAGTGTGTGCACTGACTGCTGACAGTTTAACATGCCGCATGTCCTGGCCAAAGTACTTATCTTATTCGCTCCTCATCCTGCGAGTCCTGGACACTTGATACGCTGGCATTCTGATATGAAAACTTAATTCACTTGAGCTGTCTCTATCTGCGCCTTCAGGCGCATAAATCTTCAGTTTCTTATTATGGCCGTGGCTGTTGCTGTTGCTTGTTTTTCAGCCCCAACACCAAAAAGAAGAAGAAAACTCCCCGCAATCCGAGCAGGCGTCAAACGCCAAAATGTGAAAAGCAACTGGGGCAATCTGACTGCATGACTTGGGTTTGATTTAGCTTCAGCTTGTTTTCTCAGTTATTGAAGCAGCGAAAATCGCATCTATGTTTTTTATTAAAATTCAATACTTTTCACGTTGATGGGAATTCTGATTGGGACGCTATTATTATATTTTTGTATGACAACATAAGTTTACTTTATTGCCAAAGAGGTTTATTGGAAACTCATTAGACGGTAACTAAGGTGAAGCTGCTCCCATAATCCCACACAGCACCTAAAAAGTTACGCATTATATATTTATATATTGATAGCAATATAAAATTCATTTTTGACTTATAAATATTTTGTGTGGGTCTATAGCTCCCTCAGTTACCGTCTAATGAGCTCTAACTCCCTTCTTGACATACACAGACCAAAATAGACGCAAGCATAAATAATACATATATTTATGCCGCATTTTATATCTCTGTCCGCCTCCACTCTTTCCATAAATTTGGAAATAGCAATAAAAATGATACACATTATCTTACGCATGATATACTTGAGAATATGTTATCAGTGTATAACATGTTATGTGGAATATACATGAATAAATAATTCCTACAAGGATTTTATATTTTTATACTTGCCACCCAGGCTAAAGGATGTAACAATTCGGAAAATTCTATATTTGTTGCTATTTTGGGAGCAATAGACTTGAAATTGTATCTAGACTTTGTGTTTGTCCAAACTTCTGTACTCAATCAAAGGCAAGACGTCTTTGGTATAAATTTAAGTTTGTGGGCAAAAGGGTCTTAAGGACTAGGGTCTGAAGGTTGAACAGTTAAGCTACTGCAGTCTTCCTAAAGAGGCGTGGTACACTGCCTAAGAGCCACATGCGAATTCGATTAAAAAATTGCTGTTCGACTCCTGTTATGACCTTTGGGAGCAAGGCAATTCGAATATGTATACCCTGTAAAGTTGTAGCCTCTCCCAGAATTTCGATTGATTTGCCATGTATAAAGATATTATTAATTAAAAGGGATATTTTAATATAAACAGGTAAACTGGAATAGATTATAATTTGAACTTTAATGAATTGATGCTATGAAGGGAAACAGAATGGCTGGTTTCTAGCTTGTTTATCAAAAAGATTCACGATTTAATATTTAGTGAATGAGCGGGTATTATGCTGTCGGTAACGCCCGATTGTAACATGTTTACCTGCTTAACATCTTAAGTATTCTTAAGTGCTACACAAGTGAAAGGGTTTTAATTAATCATTATTGTTTCACTTAACTATGCCGGAAAAGTCATAAAAAAAAGAGTTTTGTTCTAAGCTTAAGCTTGGCTTCATATGAAACTCATGTTGAATACGTTAAGAATTTTGTTTTTATACCCTGAACCCATAGAAAATGGGAAATCAGGGTATAATGGTCTTGTGAAAAGTATGTAACAGGCAGAAGGAATCATCGCATACCCCCTAAAGTATATATATTCTTGATCAGGACGACGAGCTGATTCGATATAGCCCTGTCCGTCTGTCCGTCCGTCCGTATGAGCATCTCAGAAGATATAAGAGCTAGAGAGCTGAAATTTGGCATGCATACTCGTGTATACCATAGGCAGTACGAGTTTTATTTTTTCGATAACTCATCCGATAACTTTTTTATCGAGAATAAACGAAAAATCGACTTGGTTTGTTCAGCCTAATTTGAACACTTTTAAACCTGGAGACTTCATTTGCGTTGTATATAGAGTGAATGGACACAAAGATTTTGTAATTTACAGATTTTGAATACCACGCCCCCTTTGCCCCCAATTTGTAAAAAACGCATTTCAAGTACTAGAGACTTGTGCTTTAGAATGTACACACATTTTAACTATATGATTACACTCTAAAAGTTTCATTAAGATTGTATGTCTACGAAAGAAATTATTCAACAAATAAATTGTCATAATATTGCCCACATTGCAGCGCAGCCGCTGCTTACTGCGCAGTTAGCAGAGCGCGTGCTTATAAGTGCATGTGTATGTATGTGTACATGGAAGAAGTGCAGAATGATTAGAATATCAGCTTGGAGGGTTCAGGGTATCTCCTAGTCGAGCAGTCTCGACTGGACCTTCTTACTTGTTATAATTCATAAGTCGTCGAATAGCTGAATATGCGTGCTTCAAATGAAAGTATAATTTTAATTAATTTTCCACGGAAGCTAATTGGAATTAGGAATGGGGAAAAAAGGAAAAATGTGGTTCGCGTCATGATAAATAATTAAATTGCGCAGCTCGAGCACGTTTAAGAGAATTGCGAAAAGTTAATTGAAAATTTAAAAGTCGCCAACAAGAAATGCCGATGCCCACCTTGCTCGCATCGGCAACTCGTCTCCTGGGGCAGCATCTTAAGGACTCTGCACATAGATACATATACATATATGTAAATGTGATGTCTTACATAAGCTGCTTACAGCTGTTGCCCGCCCGGGCAAAGAAAACACTTCCAATTTCAGCTCTGTTTGCATAAATGAGTGCGAAACTAATGAAAACAACGAAATAAAGACAACCAAATGTTGTTTACAGAAGTCTCTTGGAAATGTTGCTCATGTTGGCCTTTAATGGCAAGCAAACAGGCCGGCAAATGCCTAATGAATTACTAATTGCACAAACACTTATGTAATGGGCCTCACGCAAATTAAGTGCGGCCCATAAAATATTTTTATGCCCCGACTCTCCATAGGCCTTAGGGCAGGAGTCTCTCGTATGACAGCAGCTGCTAAGTATGATTTATATAACAATGGCTAAAAAATAGCTGTGCGTAATTATCTTAAATGCACTACAAAGCGAAAAGAATGCAAAAAAGACTCACGTATATGTGTGTGTGTGTGTGTGCGTCTTTGTGTCAAGGCTGTGCCAGGCAGTTTGAACTAGCGTTTGACTAGGCCTTGACCAGAAACTGAACTTTAGGCGGCATCACGTGTGTATTCTGAGAGATATATATATGTGTGTGTATGTGATATATGTATATATATGCATGTGTGCATTGTCTGTTTTATATTTGGCAACGTGAAGTGTAAGAAAACAGCAAGCCAAGAGTTTTGGCCTAATGAGCCGCGCACACATTTGGCTTATGCACTTGGCTATAAAAAAAATCAAGCAGCTCGCTCGCAGCTAACCCTCATCGCCGCAATCGCAGCAGAGGCAGGCACACACACACACACACACACACACATATACACACTCTCATTTATCCTTGGGGAATGCCACGATGCTTGGCCAGCGTCAGTTAGTCTGCACTGACTGGCACTTAACCATGTAATTCCCATTCCTGTGGAGCAACAGCGTCTGAGAATGTTTATGTATTACGTTTTGGTCAATGCGCCAGCACGTGCGATGCAATTGCCGTCAATTAAGGCAGCTGCAATCAGTTGGCCACTGAGGCAAACAGAGGGATGGAAAGGGAATGGGCTAAGCGCCGAGGTTACATAATAAATGAAACGCTATTTGGTTCATTAACCCATTGAAACTCTGTGCTTATATCGGGCGAACGATTTCACTTGCAGAGACAAAAGCTTGAAATGCCGATTCAGCTAGCAGTCCATACATACACACACATACACACACATACATATATATGTACATATGTATGTGTCACGTTCTGCAGCATTCGAGTGGCTGCCTTTGTTGTCCTGGTTTCGAGGGCTTGTGCAACGGACTCCATTTTATAACGGCACCCCGGCGTGCGTTGGCTGTTTACTTTTCCGCTGATATCTGAAAAGCTGTCCATCACATGTCTATTGTTGTCTGTTGCATAACATTGATTATAGGAAACGCAATTTGGTAGAGCATTCATCAGTCGATGGTTCATTTAATCAGCTGCAGCACTTAAGCATTTCCATCGAGTTGCTGCCTGTCAATTTCAATAAGCTTCGCAAATTGCTCAAGCGCTTTTCCCTAACAGTTTTCGCCGTTTTTCCTGCTTCGACCGTCGTCTTGGCCTTTTGGGCTTACACAATCCGCTCTGTGTTTGCGCGTTTTGCATATAAAAATGCGAGAAACTGCACAAAAATCATACCATAT